AAGGTGGTGTTTTCATCAGTCCTCCCAGTCAAAGGGAAGGGGTTTGAAAGGGCCAGTCTAATCTGGTGAATTACAAATGGTTAAGGGACTGGTGACACAGCCTAGGGTTTGACTCCTTAGACCATCGGACTCGCTTTGAGAAACCTGGTCTACTGGAGGCTGATGGGGTCCATCTGTCAGAGAAGGGGAAGAGCATCTTCAGTCATAGGCTTTCCAAGCTGGTGAAGAGCGCATTAAACTAAAGTTGCCGTGGAAGGGAACCAATTTGATGCCAGTAACAGATGTCCAGAACCTGGAGAGGGGTCACAGGTCGGCAGGAGAGCACCTGAAGAGCAGCACAAAGGAATCCCAGCCACTCCAGCCAGTAAGTCAGCTTGATTGGGGGCCCAACTTAAATGCCTCTATGCAAATGTTTGTAGCATGGGGAATAAACAAGAGGAGCTAGAGACATGTGCATGCTGCAGGGCTATGATCTTATTGGCATCACAGAGATGTAGTGAGATGGCTGCTATGACTGGAGTGTTGTAATGGACGCAAACGGGCTTTTTTGGAAGGGCAGGCATGGGAGATGAGGAGGGGGTGTCACCCCCTATGTCAGTGACCAGCTGGAGTGCATGGGGCTCTGCCTGGGGATGGATGAGGAACCAACCAAGCGCTTATGGCTCAGGATTAAAGGGAGGACAGGGACAGGTGACATTATAGTGGGGGTCTCCTACTGGCCACCCAACCAGGAAAACCGAGCACATGATGTCCTCTATAGACAGACAGGAGCAGCCTCACGTTCACAAGCTCAGGTCCTCATGGGGGATTTCAGCCACCCCAATATCTCTTGGAGGCACAACACAGCAAGGCATAAGCATTCCAAGAGGTTTTGGAATAACTTGATGATAACTTCCTTCTCCAAGTGATAGGGGAGCCAATGAGGGGAGGTGCTATGCTGGACCTAGTTCTCACCTGCAAGGAGGGGCTGGTGGGGAACATGAAGCTCAAGGGCAGCCTTGGCTGCAGTGACCACAAAATGGTGGAGTTCCAGATCCTTAGGGCAAAGAGAAGGGTGCACAGCAAGCTCACTGCCGTGGACTCCAGGAAAGCAGACTTTGGCCTCTTCAGGGAACTGCTTGGTAGAGTACCATGGGATAAACTCATGGAGGGAAGAGGGGCCCAACAAATCTGGTTAATATTCAAGGATCACCTCCTCCAAGCTCAGCTGAGGAAGGTGAAGGCAAACTGGTGAGGCCTGCATGGATGAACAAGTTGCTCCTGGACAACCTCAAACACAAAAAGGAATCCTATAGAGGGTGGGAGCAAGGACAGGGATCCTGGGAGGAATACAGAGAAATTGTCCGAGCAGTCAGGGATCAGGTTAGGAAAATTAAAGCCCTGATAGAATTAAATGTGGCCAAGCATGTCAAAGGCAGCAAAAAAAAAGCTTCTGTAGGTATGTCAGAGATAAAAGGAAGACTACAGAAAATGTGGGCCCTCTATGGAAGGAAATGGGAGACCTGGTTACCCAGAACATGGAGAAGGCTGAGGTACTCAATGACTTTTTTGCCTCAGTCTTCACTGACAAGTCCTCCAGCCACACCTTCCAAGTAGCAGAAGGTTGCAGAAAGGCAGGGTCTGGGAGAATGAAGAACCGCCCACTGTAGGAGAAGATGAGGTTCGAGACCATCCAAGGAACCTGAAGGTGCACAAGTCCATGGAACCTGACAACTTGTATCTGTGGGTCCTGAGGGAAGTGGCGGATGAAGTGGCTAAGCCACTATCCATCATATTTGAGAAATTATGGCAGTGCAGTAAAGTTAAACATAACACCCATTTTTAAAAAGGGGAAAAAAGGAAGATCTGGGAAACTAAAGGCCAGTGAGTCTCACCTCTGTGCATGGCAAGATCATGGAGCAGGTCCTCCTAGAAACTATGTTAAGGCACATGGAAAATAAGGAGGTGACTGGTGACAGCCAGCATGACCTCACTAAGGGCAAATGGTGCCTGACAAATTTGGTGGCCTTGTACAAGGGGATTACAGCATTGGTGGATAAGGGAAGAGCAACTGATGTCATCTCCCTTGACTTGTGCAAAGCATTTGACATTGTTCCACACAACATCCTTGTCCTTAAATTGGAGAGACATGGCTTTGACAGATGGACCACTTGGTGGATAAGTAATTGGCTGGATAGTCGCACTCAGAGAGCTGTGGTCAATGCCTTGATGTCCAAGAGGAGACCGGTGACAAGTGGCGTTCCTCAGGAGTTGGTACTGGGACCGGTGCTGTTTAACAACTTGTTCAGTGACATGGACAGTGGGATCGAGTGCACCGTCAACAAGTTTGCCAATGACACCAAGCTGGGTGATGCAGTCGACACGCTGGAGGGAAGGGATGCAATATAGAGGGACCTTGACAGGCTTGAGAGGGGGGCCCATGTGGCCGTCATGAAGTTCAACAAGGCCCAGTGCAAGCTGCGGCACAGGGGTCAGGGCCATCCCCAGGACAA